TTATATTATGCATTTAGAGAAACACTGTTATATTGATATTACAAACGGCATGTCATTACGGATCCTCCCGATTCACTAACGGTGCTTTTAAGTACCTCAAGCACCGGTCATCGTTCTCGTCGAACCCGTCGCTTGCGGCGAAGGGATCGACGAGTAAATTAACCCACAGATACAGCCCACTGAATTTCTCGCCGGATCTTCTCAGTGGGTCGCGTTTCCGATCCGGTGGTAGATTCTGCGAAGAATCTGCTCTTGCTTGGGTTCGTGTTAGCAACGTCGTCAGGTTTGAGCCTCGTGACCTCACCTACTAATTAAGGTTACGCTGAAATAGCCTCTCAATGTTATCAGCTTAGGTAGGAAAAATCAATTTTATATTTATATATACATATATATAGCGATCACTAGTCCAAGCGTCACGCTCATTGGATCCACAGATGCGCACTTGTTTATATTCCACGCACCAAAGCCGACAGGAAATGTCGTGGCGCATACTTAGCATGTTCGTTGGAAATGTTCACGTTAAGTCGTTGTGGTGCTTACAAGGGCGTGGAATTTAACCGATTCGGAAAATTTTATTTGGTCATTTTTACAGTCATGCTTACAGTGTTCTTAGTGCGAGTTTTTTAACGTTTTCGATTTCGTAAAAGTTAACCGAAATTTGTATGGAGTTGGACCAGCGCCTCTAGCGGCATATGAAGGGAAACTGTTCGATCTCTATACAAAGAGTTAACACAGTGATTTTCAACCTTTTTTTTGTTGCGGCACATATTTAACGATTTCAAAATTTGGCGGCACACAAAAAAAAAGATAAAAATTATTTACTTACTACAACACACTGCATAAATAGTTCATCAAAAATTTTTAATATACGAAATATGTAAACTAAAATATACTATAATTTTTTTTGTGGATTTAAATATATATTCATGTTTAAAATATTTTTCTTTTAAAATGATATAATTTAATAATATTAACATTATTATATATTCGCAAAATTTCGCGGTACACAAAAGTGCCACGGAACCGTGGTTGAGAATCACTGAGTTAACATTTACGCGATCAAGAAGTTAAAAAACTCGCACTAAGCACACATGTTTCAATGGTGGCAGATGTGTTCCATATATACAATGTAAATAAGATTATCTCAATTCTCAAGATGTGTGACGGTATAACATAGTGATGCTTGAGAGAGCAGTAAAACACTTAAAACTGGGCGGACAGTGAGCTTGAGTACATGTCATAAAGCAATACAACAAAACGTTAGAAAACATCTGAATATTAAATTATTTAACGGCTCATGACGTCACCGCCATTACAGGCCGAATGTGCGAGAGAGACAGCGAGGTGCTTCCACTGTAGAGACATCCTTAAACTATATTAAAATTCCTTGCAACATTACAATTGCTTGAAATTTAAACTAGAAAACTTTTAAATTTAGTATTACAGCACTTATTATTTATTTAAAACTCGTTTAGGAACCTCTATCGGTATCAATTCCTTACTCCATTATTTTTAAAACTTATCGAAGGATACCTTTATTAAGCATTCTTTTTTTTGTCACATAGTCACATGAGACACTCTTTACATTCCAAGCATTTATTTTATTTTAATTTCAAAACTTTCTGAATTAGATTTTCATTTCCAATTTAACAGGACCCGAGTAAAATTGACGTACATAATTATAAATACAAATGGATTTGACGAAGTCATAAGAACTTATTTGAACAAATCAATTCTTATGTATAAAAAACATGATAGTGGTCTACCGGACTAATAAAAAATACACCTTTATTCACTAGTATTCAGTTTTAAGCTTGACTCATATTCGACCTTGCTTCATCCTTAATGTCACAAGTCAAAGCTTTTTACGGCGATATCTAACCGACCGCGACAATAACGGACAGCCGACCTGCCTTAAAAATTGGTGACGCGACAAGAGAACTGAGAGGTTTTTGTCGAAATTACTGTGGGTGGAACTGACGTCATCAGCTCGCGTCCTTTGTGGCTGATTGGACGATGCACTTATTGATTTTAATCAGATTTTGACATTATGCCGTTGACATTTGAAAGATGCATCTGTCTAGGTTTTCAAAATGAGTTTTTTTTATTGCTTGCATAGGTGGACGAGCTCACAGCCCACCTGGTGTTAAGTGGTTACTGGAGCCCATAGACATCTATAACGTAAATGGTAAGGTCTCACTTTTAACAGTACAACGGCTGCCCTGCCCTTCAAACCGAAACGCATTACTGCTTCACGGCAGAAATTACGGCGGGGGCTACCTACCCGTGCGGACTCACAAGAGGTCCTACCACCAGTTTCTGGCGGTATGCATGAGGCTTTTGGAGAGCACTTGGAGACAGCGGCTTAGCTCTGCCCCTTTCATTGCTGACGTCCAAGGGTGTCGATAACTTCTCATCATCAGGTGAACCATATGCTCGTCTGCATACAAAAGCAATTTAAAAAAACATCCAAAAACAATGTGTAGGAGCAACTTAAGTAAACATTTTAAGTTTCAAGAAAATCTATCGCCTCTACTTACCTGATTCAGTTGGACTGTGGCGGTTGACATCACAGAGCACAAGACATTTGAAAGATGCCCGAATCTCGCTTTCGACATTTTCAAGGTCGGTCTACCGAGTAATATCACCCGCTCGGTGGAAGATCTTCTCTTTGTCGTATACCTACGAACTACGAGTAGAATGACGATTCTAGAAATTTCTACAAATGTTACCTCGTCAAAGAAATTTCTTCTGTCGTACAAGTCGGTAGTATCACCCTGAGTCTTTCAACAGCAAAGAACTCAAGCATTCCGATTTGAAGCGTAGGTTAGTCCAGCGCTGAATATTGACCTGGTGCTTATGACCCGCTGAATAGGACAACACCTGAGATTATATTTTAAATTAAGATCACGTGAGAAGTGAAATATAAATCTCTAATACTTTTTAGTGAAAAATACCTACTGTAAAAGTTTGCTGGGTATATGTTCCGTAAATATGCCACGAATACAGAAACCGTGAACAAGGAATGGTAATTTACATATATGGGATTATAGTGGATACGTTCTAAGGTGACAAAGTAATAAAAACATACCTTAGGTAGGTGGGAATAAGGTCTATTTTACTTCTTTATTAGTCCATTTGAGGAAGCGTTTACAAATGATATTTAGTTGGATATCTACATATTGGAATCTTTTTATCAATGTGTATATACTAATTAGATACGCGAATAAAAAATCTTTAGCCGCGAATATAGGAATTGGGTGGCATTTTTTTTAATTCGCGAATAGTAGTTCAAAAGGCGAATGAAGGAAGCGCGAATAACTGGAGTTTTACTGGTGAGAGAACATGTGAGTCCGCACGGGTAGGTAACACCACCACCATGCGTATTTCTGCCCACCAACATAAGCAATAAAATAAATAAAAAATTACTATAACAAAAATGTAACGGTTATCTAATATTGAAGTTCTGATATTACGTCACAGGTACCTAATTAAAGCGTTGGTCAATAGACCGTGTTCATGTGAATGGGGTTGTGTGAAAAGACCGGAAGTCGCGCCGACGTCACGTTGTGCAAAGGTATCGTGCTCCAAACTCCCTCTTTGAATTCCAGTTTAATACCTTAAAGGGACATCGCGATCGTGACGAACAGACGGCTATTATAAACACCGATGTTTATAGTAATTCTCTTTGTTGATAAATTTTTAACGGAATGCGTGTTTTAAAAGCACAGCAATCATTGAAATTGAGAATGGTTTTCAGAAAAATAATAAATCTAATTTAATGTACTTAATTGTTTCTGCTGTTATTTAGTTTCATACTCAAATTACAAAAAACTAATTCAATTTCATTATTTCTATTTTATTTTTTATTTTTTTATTGCTTAGATGGGTGGACGAGCTCACAGCCCACCTGGTGTTAAGTGGTTACTGGAGCCCATAGACATTTACAACGTAAATGCGGCACCCACCTTGAGATATAAGTTGTAAGGTCTCAGTATAGTTACAACGGCTGCCCCGCCCTTCAAGCCGAAACGCATTACTGCTTCACGGCAGAAATTGGCGGGGTGGTGGTACTTACTCGCGCGGACTCACATGAAGTCCTACCTCCAGTATTTTTCGTATCGATATCATAATATTATTCGGTGAGCGCGATCAAAACTCATTTCGAATAGTGGTTAGATATTACGAAATGATACGAAAGCGGCTTCTTCTAAAACCCATTATGTACTTATGTAGTTATGTACCTACGTATGGCATGCGACAGATAACTCATATTTACTCTGAACGTGAGTGTTTATTCAGGACTTTGAACTGCAACAAAAAATATTTCTTTCGTTCTGTTTGTTAACAGATTAAAAAAAAATATAAATCCTGATTCCTGTTGTAATGCGTGATTATAACGGTCAATTCAAATTTCTCGAAGTTTCATTCGCTCTCATTATGTTTGTAATGATTTTGAAATTCGAAGGTATGTAACAGATCCGTGTCAGGTCAATAATATATACCATATATTAGTTTAAAATAGTATATAGTATTGTATAGTATATACTAGGTAATGTAGTGTATGTTTAGAACTCACAAAACTTGCCGAGCTTGGGTTAAATAGCGTCGACATAATTATTCAGAAATAATTTTCCTTTAGTTATTTACACTATATTTCTAATATGATTGAAATGAATTATGGTATTATTTTTATAATATTTAAAGTAAATTTAAGATTATAATGAACTGCGTGTGCAAAGCGGCTTTGCCCTCTTTGAAATTTAAAAGTAATTTATGCATTTAAAACATCTGTGTATTTTTCATACTATAGAATTATTTTTTGAAACATTTAGAATCCATCATTAGAGTTATAAAAAGAAACTATAAAAAGAAACTCTCTCAGAAATAGCTTAACGATCCAAATAGGTTTTTAACCTTTTATCTAATAAACATATTAGTCTATCAGTCAATTAGTTTATTCCCATAACTCGCTTATTATGTCGTAACTTGACAGAAATATGCCGCGAAAGAGCCTTTCCATAGATAACTTAAATGCAAAGGTAACGCGTTGGACTGGTGGCACAATTGTACAATACATTAATCACTTAACACCCAGTTGTTGGGGGGTTCGTTTATGGATCTAATTTAAAAATAAAACAAAAAAATCCGCACTCCAAATCTTCTTATCAGCCCATAGACGTCCACTGCTGGACATAGGCCTCCCCCAAGCCGCGCCACAAAGACCGGTCCTGCGCTGCCTGCATCCAGCGGATCCCCGCGAACCGATCAATAGATCGTCGGATGAAATTCGTTAACACCTTTATACGTTATGTCATATTTTTTCATTCCAATTAAAACCCAAGTAGCCAATGTCCTGAGGGTTCAAAGTTTTATTTACTTGTATACATCGTTGCCTAAGTACCTATCTCTAAACGAAGAACATTATTCACGAATAGGTTTTAGTATTTGTCGCTCGTCTATTTTTATTCAGTATTTCTAGTAACCGAATAATCAAATCATTAAGCGGAAATAAAATACCATTATTTAAAAAGGAAAACGAGTTGATTGTTTCGTATAGTTTGTCAACTTGAAATTCGTTTGACATCCGTCCATTCTCCACTCGCCAGGTTCATGAAATTTGACCAACTTTCGCCGATTTGACTTACGAAATTTAACATCAACGCGAATATTGTATATCGGGTCCACTTGAGTTGCATGCCTTGTTTACATTAAAATTTCAAAGTTACATTTGTTGATACCGATGCTGTATCGCATTAAGACATTATTTCCAAAGTTTAATTTTATTTTTTTGGTATGGAGCAATTACTGAGGACCCGGAGGCTTTTCAAGCTCTACCAAGATGCGTGGGGAAAATCGATTCAACCAATCCCTATTACCATTATAAAAAAAATCTAAATTCTATAATGTCGTATTTCCAGGGTGACCATCAAAGTAAAGTGACATTTACGAGCACCGAAGAAACTGTTACAGAAGCGAAGCCCATACCAGATATACGTCTTGTTGACGGACCATCAATCCTTGTTGGTCGTGTGCAACTGTTACACCGCGGACAATGGCGGTCGGTTTGCACCAATTCTAGAAAGTAAGTGGTAGTTCGCAGTTTCTATTAGCTTACCCATATAGGTCAGTAGGTAAGATAAAGATAGGTGTTAGCTCGTCGCCTTGCGTCGTTTTCATCAGTGCTGAGGGTTGTGAACTTTACGGAGCACTTTTGTTTGAATTATGTTTCTCCATCCCTTCCTTCTAAGGTGTTATCTAGTCTTAGTAAAATCACTGCAGTGTGAATTTGAAATTTTCAGTTGATGCTCATAAGACGCTTTAGCCCGAGATTCAATTGTGTTAGTCCAGCCTCAGGTTTCATTAGAAGGGCGCAGATATCGTAGTTACATTAGAGATAAATGGGAATTATAGCGGACGCAGTGTAACTTTAAAAATTGTTTTGATCTCGTGATTAAAGTTAGGTACACATTTGGGTGTTTTAAAGAGTATATTTAATAGAAGTGACTTGTTTTTAATTTTAATAATCTACGCAATTTCAGCTGGACTATCAATGACATGGAGACAGCATGTCGGCAGCTCGGCTTCGTCGGTGGATCCTTTTACAACTGGATGGACCGACAGCCCGGCCGTAGAGCTCGCCTACTCTATGAAGAGCCCAAGTGCAAAGGCACAGAATACGACCTCTTCCAATGCGATTGGAATTCAAGACAACTCGGTTCAGGAGTTTGCGATTATCACCCAGATTTCGCTCTACGATGCTTGCCTCGTCACGACGTGAACGGAAACCCCGCCAGACATTGGAGGGGAATACGATTCGAGAACGCAGTATTCGAGCGAGTGCTAACATTATCAAACACTTTATATGTTCCTACATCAATGTCAAGATTATCGCACGTGGTAATTAAAAATGCGGGTCTAGGAAGAGATAATACAGCGACTAGTGCCCTAGACGTGGTTGGAGTTCCACCTGAAATGAACGACTTGGAGGTATCAAATTCTGCGTTTAACGCTATAAATGTAACGTCACCAAATGCACCTATTGTCATCAATAATTGCACGATACAAAATAATAGAGGCTATGGCGTGTACGTGAACTCTACATACGGCATGGTAAAAATAGAAAACTGTTTGATACATGATAATGGAGGTGACGGTGTCAGATATGTTGTTCATGAGATTAATCTCGATGAGAGATTTGATAGAAGCGAAATTTTCGATTTATGCACCCTTGCTTCGACTCCTAGTCAGACGTTTCCTATTCAAATGTCCATAGAACAATCAAGGTACTCTAACATGGAAAGAGATTGTAACCAAAAATTTTATACAATATCCGACCACGTTCTCACGCTGAGTTTTCTCAAAATTTTGACAAATCAAAACGACACTGGTGAGATATATGTTTACGATGGATTGACGACTGACGACAGATTGTTATTGAGTTTCAGCTTAAGGAATTTCACACGACCACAAAGTGTAACGTCGACTAGAAATAGAATGTATGTAAGATTTCGTGCCAATACCAGAACTGATATCACGGGATTTTTAAGGTTAACATCGGGAGTCAGCAAGACCTACGATTTAAATGTAACCGACACGATTATCTCAGACAACAATGGGAGAGGCGTGGCTATTGAAAACCTTAGATCTCAGATTCACATACATCGAACTTCGATATCCAATAATAATCATGTAGCTGGGCTACATGTTGTCAGCGGCGCAGGTGATGTCAATGTAACAGAGAGCAGAATATCGTTCAACCAAGGAGACGGTGTCAATATAACTGTAACCGGTGGTAATAGGAATATTTCTAGAAGCATACTGAGTTCCAATCAAGGTCACGCCGTAGCCGTTTGGCTAAATGATACTTCGGAGACTGAATATGTAGCATTGAACCAAACAACAGTAATCGAATATTCAGAAATATTTAAAAACCTTGACGTGGGAATAATGCACGGAAACTTTTGTGGCAATAGTTGGGTAAACATTACAGGTAATTGGTTTAATACGAGCAGCGAAAGTACAATAAATATCTTAACTTGTTGGAGACTCAACAACCCGATCAAATTATTGAACCTTCAAATCGGACACAATAGGTTTTATGAAAATCAAAAAGTCCCGGTGAAAATACAACCTGCACTGAATGTAAACGGTAGAATCGAACACAATTATTTTGAACAAGGAAGTTATGGTGCCATAGTTATACTAAATAGGATAGAAGGAAACTATATTGAAGAATTCGAAATGTTACCGGCTAATTTCCGTATCCAACAAAATTATTTTTTTGGCAATCGAGGCCCTTTCGTTGTCAACCTGGGCTTATCACCCTACAGTGATATTCAATACATATTGTTCACTCGTAACTACCTAAGAGACAACAAAATAAAACAATCTTTTGAGCCTATAGAAGGTCAAAATACTCGGCTAACTCCTAGAAGTAGAGTGGCCGCTACCATAGTACTATCTTCTAGTAATATTGACGTTTTTAGAAACATAATTAGCAATCCTGAAGCTCAGTACGAAATCGGTTCCCATGTTGAAGATCAAAGCAAAATCCTGAACTGTACATATAATTGGTTGGGTTTTGGTGAAGAGGAGAAAGTCTATAACAGACTCTTCCACAGGAAAGACAGATATAATCTGGCGAAAATTGTTTACATGCCTTATTTATTGCATAGCAGCAACCCTGGTGCTACTCAAATTAACTTTAATTCCTTACACGTTCCTCAATTTAATGTTCCTGGTACGTTTGTTGTTGGTGGTGAAGTGGAGGGTATAGAAGTATTAAAACAAGGAGAATATGATGTAGATAAAGATATTAATATTCGCCCAGGCGGTAAACTTGTTCTGAAGTCTGGTGTGACTTTGAAATTTCCACCTGCTATTGGTATGATGGTGGCAGGAAAACTAGAAGCAAGAGGGAACCGGCCCAATGATATAACTTTCACTCTTAAAGAAGAAATAGTTATGTCAAATGAAACTTATTATGAAACGGACTCTGAACCAACGACTCCTGGATACATAGATCCCGTAGTACCAATAAGACTTTTAGGAGGAAGAAATCCGAATGAAGGAAGATTACAAGTGAGGATAGATGATAAATGGGGCACTGTGTGTAATTACCGTTGGAATATTATCAATGCAGCATTAGTTTGCAATCAATTAGGCCTTGCTTTGAACCCAGATGATTGGTTCTTAGAGCCAAGTGAAATACCAGTTGCAGGTATCACTGAAGACATTATTTTATCAAATGTAGAATGCACTGAATTTGACAATGATATTACAAAATGTAAAGCAGAAACCAGATACCATTTTGAAAATTCATGTACGCATGATAATGATGTGGGAATCAGATGCTACGAAACAAGTTGGGCGGGAATCAGATTTAGCGTCATATCAGAACGCTCTGATTTACAATATGTTACAATTGAGAAATCTGGACTGTTAGATTATTCCTCGAACCTCTTTAAGCCAGCACTTCAAATTGACTTTGCTAGACACAGTTTGGAAAGCGTTAAAATTGCAAATAATTATCATGATGGTTTGGGTATACTGTATTCTGACTTGTATGGAGCCGATGCGATCAATACCGTCCGGAATTCAGAATTCAGTAACAATAAAGGTAGCGGTATCAGCTTTAAGCAGTTAGGTTTAAAAGTGTATGGATCTACTATAGAAAATAACAATGTGGCCGGCGTATATCACAATCCTCACATCACAGGACCACAGCAAAGAGAAATAGCTGGATGGTTTAATTTAGATGTAGGATTTAACTTCGATGAGTCGAATTACCGTCCCATTATTATTCCCGATTATGAAACAGACATTTCTTTAGTGAACGGTGAAACAAGACATATTGTTTTCGCTAAAAGTCACGGAGAGAATATCGCGAAAACCTATAACATAAAGTGCAATCCTGGTTATGTGATAGGTTTGCAACTATTGAATCCAATTCACAACTTCTCGACCGAACGCATTTGTATTTATGATTCTCAAAATATCAACGAAGGTAGTACGCAGTGGTGTCTTGATCGAGATTTGTCTACATTTCCTACAACAAGTAATAGTTTTGGCATAGTGCTTACTTACGAGAGTGGTACGTCAGCTTTAGGAGGTGTTGTTTTGGTTATTAGTACAATTGTAGCACCAGTACAAAATCTGAGAAACAGAATTATCAAAGGACCAGTACCGACTCTTCAACTGATAAATACGAAAATTAAAGGAAACACAAAAGGTATAAAAGCGCTATACTACAATCGTTATTTAAATGAATTAGGAGATCACTTCTTAAGAAAAGCAAACGAAAGCATCAAAATATTCAATTGCGAAATAGCTCATAATAAGGAAGAAGCTATTTACGTCAATACACCGTTTTGGGATATCCACGAAAGTAACATCACTGAGGTAACTATTATGGTTAACAATAGTCTAATAACAGACAATGGCAAAGGTATATATCACTTTGCCAGAGATCTGAGAAGCTCTAACAATCTGTACCACTATCTCATGCAAGATAATACCATAGAAAGAAATAAACTTGGTGGCTTTGATGTAAGTTTACCGTACGTTTGGCAATACAATGAAAATTTCACACATTCGGTTTACATGTACAATAATACGTGGAGAAACAATCAGAATTTCGGTTTAGTAATAGATGGACATTTCGCTGAAGTGAACCTAACAAAAAATATCTTCACCGATAACAACTGCAAATACGGTCTCATATCGATTCGAGGAATGGAAAAGAAGATGATGGTTGATGGAAATCTTATAGAAAGGAATAATGGTCAATTTATGGTCCAATTCCATATGGACAGTCAAAGTGAAATTATGGGCTTAGTCTATGCTGTTTTTGTTTACAATAAAGTTAAAAATAATCAATACGCGAGCTTCGTTAATCGGGGAGCACAACTTAGGACGGTAGACCCAACATGTGTCATCGGTTTCAAAGGAATTCAAAAAGTGAAAGTGAGCAGAAATTTATTTGGGGGTAATGCTTTAGAATACACCCTTGTGGCTGGCATAAAAACAGCGAAAATAAATAATTTATTAGATGTTACCGAGAATTGGTGGGGCAGTACCATAGAACAGGAAATCAAAAAGCAAATATTTGACTTTGACGACTGGAATAATCATGCTATAGCGGTTTATTTACCGTATCTACTAGAAGAAGATTTCGAAGCAAGCCTTTCACCAACATTTAGTCCTGATAGTGTTATAGATTTAAATGAACTAGGTGGAAGACTGACATCCAATTTAACTATAGAAGCTAGATTAGCTCCGTATGTAATTAGATCAGATATAACAGTAATGCCAGATGTAACTTTGATTATCAACCCTGGTGTAGTAATGGAATTTGCACCGAATGTTGGTATTCTTGTAATGGGTATATTGCAGGCTGCAGGTCACATTCAATTGCCGATCGTAATGAGACCAATAACAACGGCTAGCAATGTGGAAATTAGTAGAAAAGAAAGAGAAGTCGGATTGTATTCCTCGATACACCATCAATATAGAAGACAATTGGAATCGTTCACGTTGCCGAATTCTATTAGGCTTTGCACGGGAAGGAATTGTTCCATTAATGATAATATCGCTGAAAAGCGTAACGAAGGATTTCTTGAATATTACAACAAAACTACACTTCAATGGGTGCCGATGTGTGACAATCGTTTCACAGAAAGAAACGCTCAAGTAGTGTGTAGAGAATTGGGTTTTGATCCCATTAATGTATTCTTTGCACATGACCGCCGAGTGGAATATCACAGTAATTCCTTATCTAGAATCTGGTCTTGGCCGGAGCCTTTGCAATGCGTTGGGACTGAGAATCGCTATGACGATTGCCCAATAAGATTAAACGGACAACTATACGGTCATCGGCACGAGTGTAAATGGGATTCTGAATACGTTTTTATACATTGCGGAACGAGGAACCTCGAAGAAGTCTACGACTATTGGGGTGGAATAAGATTTGCTAATCCTGAATTCGAATATTCACTATACGAACATCGAATTCACGACCATCATACGCACGAAACAATGAAGAAGATGGAAAGCGAACTTCGCCATCTGCAGATCATTGGTGCGGGATTGCTTCACAATGAGAAATCACCAGCAGTTCAAAGTATCGTCAAGAATCCCGTCATAAGGAATGTCAATATAACTAAATGTGCTCATCATGGTATCAATTTAATATCACCGACAGATACTATGAGTATCATGTTTAATTCCGTGAATGACGTACTGGGAGAAGGCGTAAGTGCTATTTCTTTGAACGGAGAAGGCAGAGAATCTGAAGAATCTAGTTTTACACCTTTGAAGGACTTAAATCTACCATATCATATGTTTTCGCTGATTGATATTTGTGATAGTACAAAAATGATTACCGTCGAAGAAAGAGTGCTCGTTTATTACAAATACGACAACAATCCAGTCAATTGTGTGAAAATATTCAAGAGTATGTACAGAGTGAAACCGTTCGGATTTCGTCTGCTGCAATTCAATTTATTCAATCATACGACGAATTATGGGAAAAGGGACTCTCTGACTTTGTACGATGGTGACATTTACAACATAACGGCTCCGATGATCGGATATTTAGAAAACGGTTCGCCCGACGAAAAGAAACTGTTTAGAACAGAAGGTGCAAGCTTGAGTATCAAGTTGTTTGCTAATGGCGCTTCGGCTGTTCACGGATTCATAGCTGAAGTCGTAACACTACCTATATCCGCAATAGGATTCAGTAAGTAACATTAAATAATTCAAAAGCATATTTATGTGATACAAGGCGCATGGAAATTGTTCTCGAAGTTCACCGACCCGGAATTATGTTTGAGACAAGTCGCAGACTCGCGAAATTTGGAACTCAAAATTATACTTAGATGATTATCTAGCTTACGTTTTGGTTAAAGTGAGATACATGACCCATTTTCGACTTCGGGAACAGTTGAAATACGCTTAGTGCAGAGGCGGATTATCCGTAAGGCAAACTAGGCACGTGCCGAGGGGCGTGTAGTTACAAGGGGCGCGCGAGCTCAGAATTTTTAAATAAATAAAGCAAATAACATATCGACGATTAAGAACTAAATGCTGATCTATAATCTAAATCTATAATAGATTATATTGCACAAGCATCGATATACTCATATTATGCAATATTGCAGGTTTCTTTTTATTTTATTCGCGCATTACGTAAGTACAAGGGTCCTGGTCTACTAAAGTCTAGGGTTTGATGATACAACGTCATCGTAATTGCAAAAACAACTAGTTAAAATTTATAGTATTATGATGGCCATTTAAGGCCGGTACAGGGGCGCCGATAAAGTGATTGCCTAGAGCGCTCTGGACCTTTAATCCACCACTGGCTTAGTGTAAAAACTGCGGTTTGCGAATTAGACCCGTTAATATTTCAGATCGCGACGTCCAACATAACATATCGAACAGCGAATTCATAAAGAACAGAGACGGCGCGATCACGTATCAATCTGTCGGCGAAGTGAATCCTCTGGTCGCGATCACTAGGAACGAGATCATAGGAAACTGTCTCAAGCTGTACGGAAACTTCACGACCTGCCAGTCCGTTGTTAGAGTGGACGTACAGAATACGCAAACGCTGGTGTTTAGGGTGAGAGTTTTTATCTATTTATGAAAGTTGTTTTTTGATTTTTTTGAGCATACGGTCCACCAGGTGGTGGTGAGTGGTTACCGTCGCTCATGTACTTCAGCAATGCCAGGGGCAGAGCCAAGCTGCTGCCTACCGTTAAGTACTCTCCACAAGCCTCGTTTGAAGAAGGATATGTCATAGAGCTCAGGAAACACCGTAGAGGGGAGTCCATTCCAAAGCTGGATGATACGTGGCAAAGAAGATCTCTGGAAACGCACTGTGTATGAGCGCAGTGGCTCCAAGTAGTATGGATGAACTCTGCTCCGGTGGCGGGCGGTGCGAAGGTAAAAACGAGATGTGAAACATTTATAACCGCACGTAAAACATATTGCTGGCGTGGCGACGCGTCACTGCGCTGTATGATAGTATATATTAATATATACAGTCTATGTATCGTAGCGTGTACGGTGTGGCGAAGCGTCGCCATTTGCAAACGACTATTTCTTAATATTAATATTTTATTTTTCATTATGCCACATTAATTATACATGTACAAAATAATATCAATGTTTCACAGCCGCCAGCCTTCCGGCGATGGCCTTTTTTTTTAGTGTTAGATTTCATTTGTGTAATACTTTTTAGAATAATTTGGTGCGAGATAACGTCGGCGGGTTGCTCGTTAGGGCAGATTCAAGAGGCTCAGCTACGTCCCTTCGCGGCTGGATTCACAATAATCTCTTCTTCAGAAACCACGATTTACCGTGTCTTAAAGTGGAAGGTGAGCAGAATAGTTTTGCTGATTAAATCTAGTATTGCGAGATTAGATGAGCTTGGAATCTTTCACTGCTTTTAAATTAAGTACTTTAACCACTTTGAGACATGCAACTGAATTGTATTGTAAAAGACCTCACGTAACCATTTAACACCAGATAGGCCACGAACCCATTGACCCATCTTAGCAATAAACAAATGGTCACCATTAGATGAGCTTAATACTACCTACTATCTAGTATTCTATGTTAATCAGACCAGATGACATGTCTTCTAATGATACTTATCATTTATCATTGGTGGTAGGACCTCTTGGGAGTCCACACGGGTAGGTACCACCACCCTGCCTATTTCCGCCGTGAAGCAGTAATGCGTTTCGGTTTGAAGGATGGGGCAGCCGTTGTAACTATACTTGTGACCTTAGAACTTATATCGCAAGGTGGTTGGCGCATTTACGTTTTAGATGTCTATGGGCTCCAGTAACCACTTAACATCAGGTGGGCTGTGAGCTCGTCTATCCATCTAAGCAATAAAAAAAATGTATCTGGAAGATCATTAACGTAAAGACTGATTAGACTTGTAATTAATTAACAAGGAAATCAATGAGCGATTTGTTTAATATTACCGGATAACGTTATTTGCAGGTCGTCAGTCCTCGCCGTATCAAGAGGTGACGATATACCGCAATTACTTCACCAGGAATCGGGTGCCGTTCGATGACGTCATCGTTCTGCGTCAAGTCGTCTCCAACTTCACGTACAACTACGTACACGACAACACCGGCCTCCGTATCCTCGAGGTGTCGGGCTTCGATAAAGTCAGACTACCGATTTATCAGACAACTTCGCATAACGGTTTCTATAAGTGCGAATTTTTCTTTTGCGTATTTTTTATCTTCTCTTCTATATCGTTCCCTCACTACTGAGGATCGCGACATGCGACGTATTTCCACTGTGCTCGATCATGGGTGGCATGGACTGCGTGGTACAGATTACCACCAAATGCTTCTCTTGCTAGGTCTGACCATCTGGCTGGTGTTGTGCCCACGGCGCGCTTGCCCTCTATGCGACCCGCAATTATGAACTTTTTTTTTTATTGCTTAGATGGGTGGACGAGCTCAAAGCCCACCTGGTGTTAAGTGGTTACTGGAGCCCATAGACATCCACAACGTAAATGCACCACCCACCTTGACATATAAGTTCTAAGGTCTCAAGTATAGTTACAACGGCTGCCCCACCCTTCAAACCGAAACGCATTACTGCTTCACGGCAGAAATAGGCAGGGTGGTGGTACCTACCTGCGCGGATTCACAAGAGGTCCTACCACCAGTAAAGGTTCTCTAATTCGTGTCTGGGAGACCGCATGATGTGTCCGAAGAAGCTCATAACACGTTCCCGGCAGATGGAAGAGAGCCTTTTTCGGATGTCTAGCTGCCTTAGAATGGACTCGTTTGTTCTCATGGCAGTCCACTGTATTTGTTTTACTGAGATGGAATTTGAGCTGTGATTAAATTAATTGGTTTATTGGGAATTTGAAGCCCTTTGATCCATTAATAATGATAATGTGGTTGTCATCATTCTCTATGGCAAAAGGACCACTTTCCACAGAGCTGATGTCGACATTCGAAATTCTTTGTTTTGTTTTAAAATTTGTATATAGACAAAATTTCTTGGAATTATTGTTAGCTCGATTTAAGATTTGATATAGTTTTTCTGTTCGCGGATTGTTACCGCTAAATTAATTTTTTAACACGTTTTTATTAGCTTGACCCATTATACTTATTTATGTTATGATAACTTTCAAAGATATTTTCATCAACATAATTATGCCGGATAAAGTAGAAAAAAATGCTCATCCAATAATTTTTCTACTACTACCCAATATAGTTGCCAGAATAAAAAAAAAATATTTCACCCTTTTTTTTATTTGGCTAACTGTTACATCACTTTAGTTTTAGTTTTAAAACAACTTTTTTTTTTAGGAACTACGCAACAGATCGCGAAGGCCGAGCCACTATAGTCGCGGGAACAGCCGGTCAGAGCTACGTCGACAATATATTTTTCAATCCCGACAACGACTACGAAATGATTACTGTTAATCGATCTATGTGAGTTATTTAATAATAAATGTTGAAATTCGGGAATGCTATATATGCTATATCCTAATACTATCGAGCAGTCAGGCGACTGTAGTTCTTCAAATAGGGACCACTCCTTCGCTTAAAAACCATATATTATATAAAAAGATAAACTTAGGTATAACATATAATTTATTAGTCACGCTTCGCTATGAATATGGCTAAATGTTCGTATGACTAACACACAATTTACTTTTTACTAGGACGTTGAGGCTTCGGTCTCATGTCTGAGGATAGATGGCTATGTTCACGTTTTTTATGTCTATGGACTTAAACGATATGGTCATGAGATCCTAATTGGAGAAATATTGACCGCTAAAACTGTTAACAAGTGCGATAAGTCTTCTTAACTTTGAGGCATGATATCGAATGTAAATACGATGTAAGGACGCATGTTTTTATTATTATTATTAAATTTTGCATATTTCTTTTGCATGGCTGTTCCGGATAGCTTGCTTGACTATAATCCAAACGTAATGAGGTAAGCGTATATCTAATACTCTCGTATAATCACCTAAAATCGTACAATTATTCATCAACCACTATTTAACTAACAAATTAAATATATTTAGGATAGATGTAAGGAGACGGCCGTCTGGTGTAGTGGTAAGTGACATGGTCACTACACAAGGGGGTCGCGGGTTCGAATCCCGCCAAGGGAAGATATTTGTATGATAAATATAAATGTATTTTCCAGGGTTATGGATGTATATTAAATATATGTATGTGTATAATAAAAATATTACATTTATATCCGTTATCTGGTACCTGTAACACAAGTTCTTTACGAACTTATCACGGGACTAGTTAACGTGGCGTGATTGTTAGTAAATATTTATTTATTTATTATTTTTATTTAAAGTAGCACCATTTCAGTTTATTAAGTTTTTTTTTGGTTATTGCTTAGATCGGTGGACGAGCCCAACTAGTGTTAAGTGGTTACTGGAGCCCATAGACATCTACAACGTAAATGGGCCACCCACCTTGAGATATAAGTTCTAAGATCTCAGTATAGTTACAACGGCTGCCCCACCCTTCAAAAGTCCACTGAAAGAGATCCGATAAAGATGGCGCCACAGTAGCAAGCGGAAAGATTTAAAAAAATCGCGCCATTAACTAGTACACTTCAATTGCTGTTTAAAGCTGCTATATTCATATAATTTCCACTTCATACACTAGGGCTATTTATTTTCGGTTAATCTTCTTAAGTAATAACTTTTTGTTTATAGGCGGACACTTTTTAACTTGCCCCTTAAACAAGATGGTGCTCTTTACCTCTACCCTGCATAATTACAGAGCGTTAATTTGACAGGTGTTCGCATCCATAAAAAGTTACTTTCAATTATCTTGAAAACCCCTATCTAATTTTACATAATTTATTATTATCAATGGTCGATATACATACTGTATTTTTTTAATATAATATTAATATAGTGTGCAATGACGTCTGTGAATTAATTATAGAAAATAATCTACTAATAGTCGAAAGATTATTTTAGACATGTGACTATTTTTGTTATCTCATGTAAAATTTCACTAATAAAGACCATCGATGGGATTAATATTTAAATGTCTGTAATTAGAAATCTAGAATAGTCTTTAATTATAGACGACAAGGTTCGCGTTGGCCATAGTGGTTCTTCTATACTAACACTTGCTTCGTCAGAAATCTATTCAACAACCCTTTTCAACCCTCGGCAATAACTTCTTTATTTATAATATCTATCTATATATCTATAAATAGGTTATCTATATATAATTGTAAGAGTAACTATAACGCAAAATTTTCAACGGTTTTTTTTTTTTTTTCATATTAATAAGCATCTTACTCCGACTTCTTAGTGCACATTTAGAAATTCTTTTTTTAAGATTTTTACTCAAATATAAAATTCCATGAAAAACTATTCTAAACCATACAATAGTAATTAGATAATTAGTGGATCATCATCGCCATAACGACAACAAATCTATACTGATATATAAAACTACAGTGGTTTTTACGGATGTTCCGTTATAACTACTGAACCATGCATCCGATTTACTTGAAACTCGGTATCCATGTAGAAATTACATGTACTTAATGGATAGGCTAATATTGGCTACACCAGTTGCGGGGACATTAATGATGATAATCTTTGTGGGGGTGAGAAATAATAATGTTAAATTTAAATGGCCAGCGAAGCGGGCGAATACCTACGGCTAGTACATTATAATAATATAGACTCATAAAGACTCAATCGAATCTCGTTAACAAATCACCTTGTTAACAGTTCATTAGACCTATGGCGAACCCGTATCGACGCGAAGCACAACTACTGGAGTTACAACGTGACGTTGGCGGTGGCCGGCCGCATCAGGGACCAGGCCGACGACCCCTCGCTCGTGGAGGTGGACTATCGTCCGTTCTACATGAACAACCTGACGGTGCTGGGGGGCGGGAAGTGTCCCCCGGGCTGGGACGCGCTCGCCGGCACCTGCTACATGTACGTCGGGGCTCCCATGACGTACGACGAAGCCAGACAGTTCTGCTTGGTGAGTTAGTTCGATAGCCTCTCACATTTACTGGTGATAGGACCTCTTGTGAATCCGCGCGATGCCTATTAAATGAATAAAAAAAAAAAACAGAAAGCAACGCTAAAAAATACATTCTTATGTGTACTTTGAAGTCGTCGTGGCCTAAGAGATAAGACGTCCGATGCATTCGTGTTGAGCGATGCACCTGTGTTCGAATCTCAGGCGGGTACCAATTTTTCTAATGAAATACGTACTCATCAAATGTTCACGATTGACTTCCGCGGTGAAGGAATAACATCGTGTAGTAAAAATCAAACCCGCAAAATTATAATTTGCGTAATTGGTACTGGTGGTAGGACCTCTTGTGAGTCCGCACGGGTAGGTACCACCACCCTACTTATTTCTGCCGTGAAGCAGTAATGCGTTTCGGTTCGAAGGGTGGGGCAGCCGTTGTAACTATACTGAGACCTTAGAACTTATATCTCAAGGTGTGTGGCGCATTTACGTTGTAGATGTATATGGGCTCCGGTAACCACTTAAACACTGTAGATAGACGAGCATACGGTCCACATGATGGCGAGTGGTTAACGTCACACATGGACGTCAGCAATGCCAGGGGCTGAGCTAAGCCGCTGTCCCCAAGTGATGTCCACAAGGGCCAATCATCATCTAAGCTAAAACAATAATGTCTGATCACCACTAATAAATTTACAATATCTTTGCGACAGTCCGACAACGCGTCGATGCCGTACGTGACGGGCAAGTACGAGGTGCTGTACGACTTCATCCACCGTCAGAACCAGTGGTTCCAGTACGGGGACAGGGTCTGGGTCAACCACATCGATTACGTCACGCAGTGCACCTCGTTCGCCTTCTCCTCAGTCGAGATCACCGACTGTAATCAGAAGAACGCTTTTATTTGCGAGATCGGTAAGTTTTCGAAAGGCAGTAAACACTTATTTACCTTTTTAGCCGACTTCAAAAAAGGAGGAGGTTTTCAATTCGAATGTATTTTTGAAGTGAAAACTTCTTTAGAATCGTTGTGATTTCAAACCGGATGCAACGGAAAAAACGACAGGTAAGAGACACAAATACAAAAATGTGTAGGATGAAGCCAGCAAAGAATGAGACAGAAATATACATACTATTTAATACAGCGTCATCTGTGAGATTATTTAATACTAACGTGTGTATGAAAGCTCTTGTAGTGAATTTTAATTTAGGATTATACGTGAAATTAAAATATCAATTCACAGAGGGCGCTACCTTACAATTATTTATTAATGACAAAATTTTACATATACTTAAGACGTTTAGGATAATTGTATTTTAATTTTGGAAGGTTTCACTTCTACCACGTGTGAATTGCACACATTTTGTTTTTTTTTATGTTTGTTACCTCATAACTTTTGACTGGGTGAATCGACTTTGATGATTCTTTTTCTATTAGAAAGCTGACGCTTCCCGTGTGGTCCCAAGTATTATACAAGTATTTAGTAGAGTTAATAGTATGCGTATGTTAAGGTTTGTTTGAATTAGCTTACAAAGTTTTTACCTTGCCGTATCGAAAATACACGACATAAGAACTGTTAAGTGTACACAATTCCGGTCATCGTTCTCGTCGAACCCGTCGCTTGCGACGAAGGGCTCGGCGATTAAATTGACCCACAGACACAGCCCACTGAGTTTCTCGCCGGATCTTCTCAATGGGTCGCGTATACGATCCGGTGGTAGATTCTGCGAAGCACTGCTCTTGCTGGGGCTAGTGATTACCCACTGTAACCGGCGCCATCTATGCGTGCTTCGCATAGACTGCCGACCGAGAGGACTGGTGGTCGTGGCACCGACGACCGCCGGTAAGGCGTCCCGGGGGTGAGGGTAAGGGGAGAGATGTGCTCCGCACTAAGCACTTCACTGCCCCCCTTTGCCTTTTCATGAGTTCTGTCTCATGCGAGGTTCGGACGTGGCTTGTTGAGCAACAGGAGGTTTTAGTCGGCCCCGACATGCTCTGCCCTCCATTCCCAGTGGAGGACGAAAGTCAGGCTAGTGATTAGTATAAACCCTCGAGGTTAAAAGAATAGGTAGGAACAAAAAAAAGCGGACATTCAATAGAAGATATTCGTCGGCAGATCCGAAAATAGTGATAGACCCGATGTCTTGGCGTGGGGACTCTCTGGCGGTGGCGTTTATCGGCGTGCTGGTAGCAGCCGTGCTGCTGGTAGGCGCGGCGCTCGTCTGCTGGTACACCAAGTCGAAGCACAGGTGGGTTTCTATCTACATAACCTCGGAGTCTTACCCATCACACACTCTTCACACTTTTGAAGCCATCGTTGCCTGATGGGTAAGGTCAGGTCATGATCGGCCACTCTTACTGGTGGTAGGACGTCTTGTGAGTCCGCACGGGTAGGTACCACCATCCCGCCCATTTCTGCCGTGAAGCAGTAATGCGTTTCGGTTTGAAAGGCGAGGCAGCCTTTGTAACTATACTGAGACTTTATAACTTATATCTCAAGGTAGGTGACGGCATTGACGTCATAGATGTCTATGGGCTCCAGTAACCACTTAACACCAGGTGGGCTATGAGCTCGTCCACCCACATAAGCCATAAAAAAAATTAAAAAAACTTGGCAGAGCAGTTGTGGTCATGTCGAATACTTGTTTATTAAAGCCTTGACAGTTGTTCTTCTTAGTTCGCGGGCTGAGGCTTGACGCACTCAATTGTTAAGTGGGGGGAGGGGTTTGATAAATCTGTGTAATTGTAAATAAATACATTCAAACGGTTAGGTACCACAATTATGGGCAAATTAAAAGTACAAACAGCCAGCACTTAGCCTATTACTGACGCATAGCAGCCCTGCCTTCTGGTTTGGAAGGTGGGACCGCCTCATGACTGAATGTAGGGATCACACTCACGCCTCATGCCTGTAACTCCTAATTTCTTTTGTACATCTACATTTATAATAATTGTACTATAAAACTTGAAATCGTTGGTTTGTTTGTTGCTGATACATATATTTATTTGTTCTCGACTTAACAACATACATATGCTAATCAGAACATTAGAAGAAAAAATATACACTCTTAAGAAACTTTTGGATGGAATTGAAATTGTTTAGAAGGTTCAACTCTTCCAGAAGCACATCCCCAGATAGAGGAGACCGGAAAAATTACATATCTTAATAAAATGAAAACAATATTCGCTCAATAATCTAAACTTTTCATTTTAGTATGTTCGTATTTCGGACCTGCAATGTAAAATGAAGAGATCATTGACCCCGCGTGTCAGCTGATTTTGATTGCGCTTCATTGTGGGTAGTCAATAAAATTAACGCATCTTTAATTAGTTCCCAAATTGTAATATGATTGATATATTTAAACTTGTGATATTATTTAATCAAACAGACACGTTCAGAGATTAGAGAGGCGAAATTCAATCAGACAGTCGCTGCATTCGGTGCGGTCTATTGGAAGCATCAACGGGGGATTCCCCGATACGAACTACAGAAGGAAGATGGCGCAAATGGTAATTTTTTCATATTCGCTGGCAGTAGTGTCATATATAAGCTAATCTTAGATCGGGATTCATTAGTTCTGTGTACGTTGCATTTATTTATTTACTAGCTGACCCAACCAGGTGGACTGACAACTTAGTGCGCACGGCGGGAAGTCGTTGGATGCGGAAGGCGGAGGCATTATGTGGAAAGCATTGGGGAAGGCCTATGTCCAGCAGTGGGCAGATAAAGGCTGATGATGATGATGATGATGATGACCCGGCAGACTTCGTAGTGCCTCAATCGATAAATGAGTCGACTATTATCAAAGCCGGCAATGTGACTTTTGGACAATTATTGGTAAATCAGAAAAAAGAATTATTGACTTTGTATTCCATTGGCAGTCACAAAACTCTTCTGAACGACATCTTAGATAAATAACAGGTTAAGTACTAACCTTTATTTAATGCAGGTTTTGAACCGTATTCTTTGAAGGAGACGATTATATTCAAATCAATCTGTATTGACATATCAATAACATTTTTTGTCCAAATGCACAGATTGCCACCTTTGATAATAGACGACTCAAATAAAAGACCTAAACTTTTATATAAAATAAACTTAAAACAAACAAAAGGAATCCGTCCGACGGGGGACAAATCAAAGGAAAAACAAAATTGTTATTTTTATTTAATACGAGTATTTTCATATTTATTTACCTTTTAAACCTTCTCTGGACTTCCGCAAATAATTCAAGACCAAAATTAGCCAAATCGATCCAGCCGTTCAAGCAAGTCGAGTTTTAGCGAGACTAACGAACAGCAATCCATTTTTATATATATAGATTTGAATGATCACGATGAATCTCTAATTTAGTTGTCGGAAATAATAGAACGGCAATTCAAAAAGCGAAATTAAATCGTAAAAGTAATTTTAATTGGTCGTGATTAATGGAATGCCGGTTATTGGCACCGTATCTAGAATTCATTCGAAATTTTGATATTTGAATTCGAAGAACGCGAAACTTACGTGACTTTATTTGAGCTTGTGTTTCTCGATCGAGCTTTTTTTTTATAAAGACGTCACAGTTGACGTGATGATAGGTATCCTCAAGTAAGCAAAGTCTCAGTCATATCTCAGTGTTGCCATTACGCACGTTCTAGGATACTTTATGTCGTTTTCAGAGCACCCGTTCCACGGAAACCCTTACGAAGGGCTCTGATTACCGCAAGATGTTGGCTTCGACCGTCTCAATGGAGTCGATGGAGAAGAGTCAATTCAATTCCTCGATCGAAGACAACCAAAGCTTCGACGTTTACGAAGCTCACAACCCGAACAACATAATACAGCTGAAGCACAGTAATTTCGTTAAGAAACCGAACAGCCCAGAATATTCTGTGCCCCAAAACAACGCTAGGCCCTTTAATTTAGCGTTTAGGAACGACGGCTACAGAGACTCCGGTCAGAATAGTGGTGCACCCTCAATCAGCACGGTGATGACCGAAGAAATCCCGATCATTCATCACCCAGGTGGAATGAGTTCGCCCCAGGACGACGAGATATTGTCTCCTACAAATAACGCGCAATATTACGCATCGGACACTCTGCCGCTGCGAGATCTCGGCAGATCTGATGATAATCTAGAATTCAAGAGGGATCCGGATAAAGAAGGGAAAATGTATGGGCCCTACGGTGCGCCTAATTACGGGGGTCAACCGAAGCTCTCGTTCTTGATGGAGTTGAGGTCAAAAATGCCCGATCAGCCACAAGCCGGTTCCACGCCAACCACTACGTTTGGTCAGAGAAATAATATTCCAGGTAATATTTATTTGATGTTAACATCGATTACAATAAGTTGTAGTGCACATGTTTTAATTGAAAAAAAAAAAAAAAAAATTTGCTATACTCAAATGATGATTGGTCAGTCAGATGAGACTAGCAAATATCTCATGAGTATTACTAGCTTCTGCACCGACAATAATCGCGTGGAATTGTTACAGATCATCAGCCATACTACGAAGATAATCTACCTTCCCCTCAGCCGCCGGTATACTCCAGTCCGTACAGCGACAACACGCAATCCGAGATGATACCGAGCTACGACTCGAGTCCGCAGGATTTATCCAGAGAGTTCGACGAGTCTCCACTACCCGAACTACACCACAAATCAAAGTCCGAAGCATTACTGGAAACGAATTTCGATTTCGACGACGACACCAGCCCTTTGCCCATTTCGGAAGCCTGTCGCTCGCACAGTCAACCTTTAGAAACGGCAATGTAACACTCCATTCACTAAAAAAAATAAAAAAAATAAAAAAATAAAAACTGGTGGTAGGAACTCTTGTGAGTCCGCGCGGGTAGGTACCACCACCCTGCCTATTTCTGCCGTGAAGCAGTAACGCGTTTCGGTTTGAAGGGTGGGGCAGCCGTGGTAACTATACTTGAGACCTTAGAGCTTATATCTCAAGGTGGGTGGCGCATTTACGTTGTGGATGTCTATGGGCTCCAGTAACCATTTAACACCAGGTGGACTGTGAGCTCGTCCAACCATCTAAGAAATAATAAAATACGACTGTATTTAGTTTTAAGTGGACTAAAGCAAATTAGACTGAGTTACGTCCTTTTTTAAATTTGATCGTAAGGTATTATTGGATTGCGTGCACGTGCAATGATAATTAAGCAATTAAACCCCAAAAACAAATCAATCTAAAGCTAGTTATAAGTCGAATGTAACTAAACTGACTCAAACATCCAAAAACTGTTTTTCTAAAATATTAATGATAATCAATAAATGAAACTTAATGATTTTAATATTATATTTTTAACAAAACACAACATATTTTACAGCACATTACATCATAAATGTGCCTAATCGTTATGTTTTAATGTACATTTTATGATTAGTTGTCCTCTTATTTTGGCACCGAATGATGTCAAGTGTAATGAAATTTAGCCGCCATTTTTTTAAGTTTTCGCGGGAATATTAAACCTATGAATTATCCGGTCCCCTAAGCAGTTGACCGTCATAGAAAAGTGATATTTGTGAACATTATTATCCTGTTAAAAAAGTTTTGTATAAAATTTGCACTTGCGCAATTAATGTCTTGTTACGCCAAAAAAAATTGGTTTATTTTCTTCTACTGTGTTCGCTCTGTAAAAGTGATTTATTATTCTAACATTCCATTTCAACGCTGTATGTATTAACAGTTTCATTTTTATTGTTATAATTTACCAGAGAAGCACGATCTCAAATGCTATGACGCATTAGAAAATAAATATTATAGGCTGAGAAAAACAGCTATATAAAAATGAAATATTTTTTCGTTTGACTTACATTACGGGATGGAAGTTATTCTAGACAAAGATAGGATAGTGACGCTGGTGATTTAGCTTCAAGAACAAACCTCAGAAGTGTATGTTTTTAGTACTGTAAGATGTTTATATTATGGAAAACATTTTAACAGAATCGTGGCCTAGCATTAAAGTCTCATTACGAAACTGTGATTGCTAGCGATTAAAGCTACTGTACAAAATATTAAAGTTTTTAACAGCAATGTTTGCGTTTAAACCGTTTGCCTATCTACCAGCGTTAAAAAAAAATATTTGTTTACGCTTGCATTGCATTAACTATGTCCGTCCTAATTGTTTTTAATCATTCATGTATTGTGAATGAATTTATATTTTGAAAAGAGTACTTATATATTAATATGTATACAAAGAATATTTCTATAAAAATTAAGTCTTTACATTATTTACATCACTTAATTATACGGTATAGAATTTATAATTTTACTTTTAGATTATTTAGGTTCTAATGAATTTTACGTGTCTTATTACCTTGAATAGGTACAATTAAAATTATGCTTTAATCAATCAGTAATATACAATGTTAGAAAATTAATCTACGAGAAACAACGTAAGTAACATATCAATAAACGGTAAAATATTTTTACAAAAAACAATTGTTTTATTATTTATTAAATCTTGACCTTAGTTGTTTGCGTAAAATAATATGTACTTAGCATAGCAGTGTGTTCCATTGCTAATTATGTTTCCTAATTTTCATTTAATTGTACATGCACTGACTCGAATTTACCAAGATGTCTGTTTTTTTTTTCTTCACATTTATTAATACTCACCACTGACTAAAAATAATTTCAATGTTGTTGCTTAGTACGATTTCAAGCGGTTAATTATAAAATATGTTAATATCGCACATTTAGAATTTCAACTAGAGCATGTATATTATCTATGCCTACTTATTGGGAAATAAATAATAGCAGTGCACAATTTTTTGGCGCGTACACGAGGAACATACCTACTTCGGTGAATTGGAAAAAACCGTTTAGTATGTTTGAAAGTGCACAAAAAGTTGCGGAAATAAAATAAAGCCGCTGGACGTGGCTTCTCAGGGTCTTTCAAATAGTCCACTGAAATCTTATCATTTTTCATTTAATAGCAAATTGAAGCACATACGTATTTTATAATTGAAGATTTTTATAAACTCGACACTGACAATGATGGCATCTCGATATTCCAATTACCATACTTAAAAGTAAGAAGAAGAATAGCAGAGAAACTCAATCCTATGTTCGCAAAAGGTGATGGTTGCTCACCACTTATTCTGTTGAGCGAGTGTCACCTCTTAAATGCAAAAAAAAATTAAATAAAGATGATTTATCTCAATCTGTTGTCAATTGGGATGAAATTCAAGGAAATCAAACATAATTAAACTACAACTTCCTTCCTCACGTTCCCACGGAAAATATAATGTTCCAAATTACACTTTGATTATTGAACAAGTATTCTTCTCCAAGGAAATCAAGTAGGTAGCCATTTACCTCTAGTTATGTTCGTCACAATTCTAAAATATTAAAAAAGTACTATTTTACCATCGGAATTTTAATCAGAAGAACTTTTAAAACATTTAAACATTGAATATTAGTGCGTAGGTAGTCTACATACCTATCTTTAGTTAAACTGCATGGAGTTAATAAGTACCTACAACTGGAGTGCTGTCTAATGCCGAGAAATCGGTCTCGAAAGAGAATACTTTTTGGTCGCGGTGTCCTTGTCTAATGTGGTGACCATATATAATTTAATTATAGGACAAAATTATACACATGCATAAGTTTTGAATTTACCTTAAGTAATTCTGTGTAACCCTATGTAAATACAAAACACGTGCTTGCAACCTTTTATTTATGTAAATTCAATTCTAAACATTGCTTCGTCGTCATGGTGACTTTTTTTCGACGGTTTTTTTTGGAAATTGCTGCGTTGTCGAAAATCTAGCACTGAGTTTTATTACAAACATCATTACCTCAGTTCTATTACTTAAACTTCCTCAAACTCATGTTTAACGTCCGAATACTCAACCGCGACTTAAATAATATATTATGTTGAACTTAATTACGCAATTCCTACTTTAATGTCCAGTACAGTAAGTGGGCCGTGCAAATTAATATTTGACACACTGAGTGAGACACTGCAACACACATGGTCTGCGCGTATCGGGTGCTCTTTTCCTACATTCACATCTTCAATTGATTTAAAATTGTTTGTATTTTTACTTCTGTGCTATTTTAATGACACGTGTATATTAAGTCTACTAGTTACATTTTAGGAAATAAAACACAATGGGTAATAAAATGAAATGAACTGAAATTCATTTATTTGTTATATGTAGACAATTAAATAACTCTTAAATGACAAGTCAATACACATAACACGATACACATAGTACTTGATCTCTATTTACAAAATATTGGTTATACATATTATTATTATTAAGTTCAGTTAATTTTCTGTAGTCTTATAATATAAC